AATGTACACTAGCTTTTGTGGTTTGCCCATCCATGCATAAGTAGGATATGCAGTTTTAGATATTCAGTCATCCTGTAGGAATGTCCATCACTAATAGAGTGCTAGAGACATAGATCCCCTTTATTTTCACCCTTCCAAAAAAAATCAGGTGGAGGTTAAGCATGACCTAATTTTTCATATTTGTTCATGTGAGCACACACTAGTGTCAACTACTTTGGATTATCATTTTGGTGAAATGCAATGTAATTCTGCGATTCTTCTCACCTGGCCAACCAAGACAGATGTAGAGGCACACAGACAGGTAATGCCAGCCATGTTGTGAAGTATGATATAGAAATTAAAATCTCACTCAGTACTGGTAGATTAAAATTGCTTAAAACAGGTCTGATCCAAAACCCTCTGACATCAATATGAGATATTCCATTAACTTCAGGGTACAGTCAGTCAGGCTCACAGTTACAGGTTGATCTACAATTTCCACCAAAAATGTTTCCTTTTTTCTTTTCTGTACTTTTTAAATAAAAACTGTTTTTTGTGACAGATCAGAAATGTTCAAGAGAACTAATAAATTTCATAAAACCTAAATCATGTTGCTTAAAACAATTTAAAACAAGTGCTTCATGTTACTTGAAGAAATGTTGATGAAAGGGAGTTTCTCATTTTTGTTACATTCCCCTCTGCCCCACAAAATGTTAATTTTCTAGACAGCTCTACTTATGATACAGAATTTCTACATATTAAAAATTAAATACATGATTTGTCCTACCTTGAAAATGCTGCTACATTATCAGCTAAGGTTTGCTGATCATCTGCTCCTGATCGGTAATAATCATACACTGATTTTGGAAGAACTTCTTTAGCATGTTGTTCAAAATCTGCAATACAAACTGGCTTTCCAGACATTTTGCAGGTCCCAAAGAATAAGTTTTTTCCTACTTCAGTCTCTTTTTAGCTATATTTTTCCTCTCTGTAAATCATTAACACAAAACTTCAACAAAGTTCAAGTCGCTGTATTTAATTAACTACATAAAAAAAAACTGTACAAACAATCTGTCAATGTGTTGGACATTCCTTTTGGACATTGCCCTATGTGCTGATTTATATACTGAGTTACGGGCCCAGTTTGCTCAGATCAGATCAAGATCACAATGGTCCAAAACATGGCAAAAAAAGGAGGAAGAAACAAATTAATACATAAGCAAAACAAACATATTAGCACCTCATGGATAAGTAAATTAAAGCTTATTCTGGGAAAGCCTATACATTACTTGGTCAGTGACTTTATGTCCTGAGGGGCCACAGCTATGATGTGACGGCCGACACACAAAGCCTGGGGACCCCAGCAATGAGAGCATCCTGCATGCCTGCCGCGTCTCCCGCCGCTACACCAAGCTGATGCACTACCTCACTACCATCCATTGGTCCCGTGAAATCTATGTTGAACACATCACGGGCCACCGCCAGTACACCGACCCCACCAGACCAACCACCACTGGACCGGACACAGAGGGGACTGCCTGAAACCCTCTCTGCACCTGATGGACTCCAAGAGGAACCTTCAATGATGGACCACTCCACTCCACCCAAAGAGGACCTCTGCAATGAGACTCTATATAGACTGAGAAACTTTCCCCAACCTATGCCCTCCACCATTGCAGACCATTGTATGGGTTTGTGTGCATCTACCTTCTTTCTCTCTGAGCATTGCAACCCCCCCACTTCCCCCACTGTGGCAGGGCACTGTGGGTGCCTGCCGCTTTAAGGGTCTGGGACTGGTAGCTGCCAGGTGCTGGATAAGGGCAGCCATTTTGAACCCTGGGCATATAAACAGGGCAGTTTTGCTGCTGGAAGCCGCACAACAACACCGCCTGGCAGCAGGGCTGCTAGTATCATCTGGAGGCAAGGGAGGTGCTGTAGGGGATGATCTGGAGGCTCCAGGTCCTGGGCATGACCTAAAACTGCACCCTGCCAGGAGTGGGTGGCCTGGTGAGGCTCTCAGTGGTGTGGGAGCCCCCAGGAAATGCCAAGCCAGTTACCACCCCAATGAAAGGCAGGTAGGGGTGCCTTAACCCCAGCCATCACCTTCAGGTGGGTAGAGGTAACATCTGTAGTAGGAACACAACCTGCTGCCCCAGAGGGGGAGTGAGAGTCCCCTGTGAGACCCTGGAGCACCAGTCACGGTGTGAGGTACCCCAGCTCCCCATATCCAGGAAGGGGGACTCGGAGAGACTGTGGGGCTAGTGAGGCTGGTGGTAGAGTGCCCCTTGACTGGTCTAAGCTGGGGCCAGGGCCAAGATGGTCAAAAGGGCCAGGGGCCCGCTGCGAGGGGCACCCTGGGTCATGGGCCTGGGGCCCCACCTGACCTTGGAGGTGAGGCCAGAGCCTGTGTATGGCCGAAGGTCCTGAGCGGGGGACCACACCTGGGAGGGAGCCAGCTACGAGGAGCTTGGAAGCCAGAATGAAGGCGGTGTAGGCCACCTGAGCGGAGGGTTCGAAGGAGGTCCCACCAGGAAGATTCTGGGGCCCAGTGTGGGGGCTGGGATGCTTGTTAACATCTGGATGCCATCTGCGAGGCTTGGGCCATGGTGTAGGGATGGTACAGAGCTGCGGGCACCCCCCTAATATTGGGGTGCAAAGGAAAATGGGCAGCCTTCTGCCTTATTTAACAGCTTATTAATTTTCCAGCAAGTCATGGCGGGTGAGACAGGCGGGTGGCGTGCCCAGAGGCAGGTGGGAAGCCGGCAACGGCTGGCCTGAGAGAAACTCACTTTGCCACACCCACCCCGTTCCCCCACCCCCAGGCTTAGTTGGCTAACATTGTATTTTCTGTAACCTAGTTGTATTCCCCTCCTTATCCCCATCCCTCCTATATTAGTCCCTTGCTTGGGCACTCTGTATTTCCCTTCTGGCTTTGTCATCTTTTTTGGCTCATGACTCTTAACATCTACTAATAAAATTCATTCTGAATATTGCCAGTGCTAAAGAAAAAAGAGGAAGAACTGCTAGATATGCTCAAATTGCAACAGCAAAAAAGGGCCTGGTCATTACTGTAGGCTTCAAGCTAAATGTGAGTCAACAGTGTGCTCTTGCTGCAAAAATAAAGAAGAAAGCAAATAGCATATTGGTTGTAATAACAGGAGTGTCACGCGCAAGTCAAAGGAAATGATTCTTCCACTCCATCCAGCACTGATGATGCCTCACCTGGAGAACTCTATCCAGAAGGGAAAGAAAGATGAACAAATTGAAAAGGATTCCAGTAGAGACCAACAAAAATTATTAAGGGTCCAGGAAATACAATTTACAAGGAAAATCATAACTGGAGTTATAAGCCTGAAAAAATGAAGACTGAGGGGTGTATTGACAACTACAGGAAGGGTGGTTATAAAGAGGATGGTGAGGTTATCTGTGGCCATAGGGCATGTCCACACATGCAAGCACATGCACTTACAGCAGCTCAAATAGAAGCTGTGCAAATTTGAGCTGGGACTTTCTGCCTCAGTGCACATGCTTGAACATGCACTTTGTTGTGGAGCAAATTGTGCCACTTGGGGCAAAATAACCCTGCCTGGCTCCTCCTGGATCTGCAGCCAGGGGGAGCTAGAGCCCAGGGCCAGCACCTGTGCTGTCCCCAGCAGTATAAAAAGCTGCCCTGTCCTGGCCTCAGCAGTACAAAAAGCTGCCCTGTCAAGTAGCTCAGCAATACTCGTTCTCAGGAGCTTCTGGGGCCCAGCCAATTGGTACCTGGGGACACTACCCCTTGTGCCAGCTGGACTGCTGAAGCTTCCCTGAGAGTTCCCTGCACCTTTTACCCACTGCAGCAGTCTGGCAGTGGGGGCTGTGACCTGCTGTGCACCTGCCAGTCCTGGATGGGGACTTGCCCCTCTAGGCCAGCTGCCACTGGGCTGTGGCTGCAGAGTTGGCCTCTGTGCCACACTAATGCCACATGTGCCCCCTGCCCAGAAGATGTTCTGGGTGTGGTGGCCTGCTTTGAACTGTCAAAGCATGTCCTCCTTGCCCCATTTGGCTAAGAGGTCAGCCACAGCCAGCTGGGTACAAGATGCCAGCTCTGAGCAGGCAGGGTCCTGCCACTGGCCTCCCTAGCAGGAATTCTGGTGTTCCCTATTGGAAAACTGAAAAATCCCTGATAAAAAAAATCCCAAAGTCACTCTGTAAAATACCCTAAAATCCATGTTCCTCCACAGTTAAAACAAAAGACGACTATAAAGAGAGACACAGAGACAGAGATAATGATCAATTGGACAATGTTTTATTGATATATCTAGTGTTAAAAGATGTCTCATCATAATAACAAAGTGAACTCTAAATACACGTCTCATGAATTCATGAATACATGAATATATATTTTGCTGCCCTCCCACAGCGGTGACAGCCCTCACACAGGAATTATGGCCCCCCAACAGGGGCCAAATGGCCCCCACAGGGGCTACTCCCCCCGCAATGCCCACATGCCCCACTCCAGCTCCCCAGTTGTTGCCCCACCCGGCCCCATCCCCGCCAGCTGCTGCAGCCCCCCCCCACGGCTG